CTTTGTTTTTGTTGTATGCCATGCAGCCTCCCATCATTAAGAGTGTAAACCTTTTTTGGATGCTATGCAAAAAATACAGCTGGACTGACAATCCTAATCAAGACTTAAGTACTGCTAGAATACAGAAAAAGACACGGAAGATCAATCAAAGGTAGTATCGGTACAAGTTTACTATGAGCCATAGATTGCATCAGTTAAATTTTAGCTTACAAACATATATCATGGTTAACTAAATTACAATAGTATTAGGGAATAAAAGCATGTACAATTAATTTAATTAAATACTGATATAAAATTCATCCACTAATGAAAACATGACTTAAAATAGCTAATTTCATACATGCATTTTTCTACCGACTAGAATTTTGGCACTTGCAAAACAAATATGCTAACACGTTTGCATAGCACTTTGAAATCTTCATCATGATTTCATTAATTAAGCACTAGAAAGGTGACTTGTTTTAATGTCTCACCAGCAATTGAGAAATTAAGAAGATTTTGAAGTGCCATTTAGCTGTATATTCAGACAGTATATTCTATAGATCGTAGCTCCTCTTTCTATTCCAAGTCCACAAACATCAAATAGATTCGAATGACATGAATGTCAAGTATACAGTTGTTTACAAGTTATATCATAAATGGAATTTTAATTAGCATTACTAAGAAAAAAATCAAAGCAAGTGAAATACTGCATGTGGCACAATGGCCATCAATAAGCTAAACAGCATTTTATCAAGACCAAGCATTATGGGATGTCATCTGCTGCCTTGAACTAATTTGTAAGTCTGTTATTACTTCACATAGCAGAGCTAATTAATTAATGAAATCATTCCTTGCACTATTTCCCCACCCATAAACTTTGGCTAAACTTCTCCCTTCTGGTTCCCCAACTAGATAGAAGCTTATACTGCATTATCTACGCTATAAGTTTACCCTAGGAGTACTTAATACAACCATCCATATCTAATTAAATTATTGCTCAAATTCCAATTTTGCCACTTTTTAAATTAAAACAGCTCCCAGAGGTAAAGGTTTTCCCATTTACCATCACAGCAGTAGGCAAGCATCTAACTGCATAACTGCCTCTTTTACTGGCAGCCAGCTATACTGACAGCATTGTGACTCATGAAGACGGCAAGATCCAAGTAATGGGATAGTTGTGAAGCGATTTAGCCAAGCCAAACATGTCCAGAAACTACTGGACAAGAAAAAGACATTTCTGCCTTTTTGTATTCAGCTTAAATCCAATACTGAGTTATTTAAATGTTAGCATTCTGAACAGTCTGAATTATGGAACTGAATCTTACCAAACACTGCCTCCTAACAGAGACTGCCAAAACGAACTTTTCCAGGTTCAGAAAAAATATTCACAGCCTGTTCAGTGTACAAGGATAAGTACCCTGAAGTTTCTGAATTTGATATGATCTGCCAGCTGACGTGTTTGAAACAGGTCTATGAAATGTCCTGATGACTAGGTCTAAAAACGTTACAATAAGTGCACTCATTACAGAAGCATGCAGAAGGCAAAGGTAAGGAATTCATATAAGTCTGTATGAATTCCTTATTCTATCCCACAAGTGCCTCAAGCATTTGATGCTCTTACAGGTCCCTTCCAGTCCATTGACTCTGACTCTAAGCAGCAATGTTCCCTTTAAGGTGTAGCGGTCCATGAGCGCACCGCTTCGATCCCACTGCCCTATTTCAATGCAATTCGCCAGTAAGTACCCCACAGTAGGTGTCCAGGTGGGAGCGGGCAGGGTTTGGCCCTCTGTGGAGCACTGTGGGTCCCACGCACTGCCCTTCTCCACGCTAACTGCTGCCCAGAGCAGCACAAAGGAGTGCTATGGGGCATCCATGGGCCAGACACAAACAGTTGGTAGAATTTATGCTGTGGCCCAGCCATGGGCCAGACAGTCGATTGATAGAACTGGAAGGAAGGCAGCAGGGCCGGCGTGGAACACTGACCGAAGGTAAGTGCAGCTGGTGGATTAAGTAATCCACCAAGATTCCTAGATCCTTCTCCACAGTGCTGCCATCCAGTCAACTGTCACCCATTTTGTGTATTTTTGATTAATCGCCCCAAGGTGCAGCACCCTGCATTTCTCAGCTATGACCATCATCCTGTTAGATTGGAAAGCTGGGCTGGAGCTGTCAAGATCATTCTAAATTGTTCTCCAGTCCTCCAGCGTGTTTGCAATTCTTCTCAGTTGTGTCATCTGCAAATGTGCTCTAGAAGCTCTCTACTCCATTATCCAGCATTGGGCATCAACTGCATTGGGCCCAGGACAGACCCCTGTGGGACTCCAGTCAAAACCTCGTGCCATTCTGACATGACTGCATTTATAAATGCCCTTTGGCCTGCAGCTAGAAAACAGTTATTTGTCCACCTTATAGTGGTTTTGTCTAGCATACATTTATCCAATTCGTTTATGAGAAGGTCATTTGAGACTTCGTCAAAAGCCTTGCTATACTATATCCACTGTGTTCCCTTCACCCACCCAACTAGTTATCTTGTCAAAGGAGATCAAGGTTGTTTGTCATGAATTGTTGATAACAAATCCATGCTGGCTGCTTGTGATCATGCCTTCTATCTCCAGATGCTTGCAAGTAGACTTCCTTATTATGCGCTCCAGTAACTTCCTGGGTACTGACGTGAGGCTAACAGGTCCTCCTGCCGTTTTTAAAGCAGCACTACACTGGCCCTTTCACAGACCTCTGGTACCCCCCACCCGTCTCCCATGACTTTGTAAAAGTTATTACATAATGTTCCACTGTAAACTGCTCTGACTGTATTTCAAATGCCATCATATTCACAGGTAGAGAGAGTTCATGGGTCAAGCACACAGCATGACCCTGGTTCCCCAACTCAAGCAGCCGCAACTTTTTACAAACATTTTTTTTCCCAAACCTGTCGTGACAGGTCTTTTTTACTACAGATATTTTTCTGCCCATGAGTATAAATTCTCCCTCAACTGTTAGCTTCCTGATTCATATAAAACCCATCCAGGAATCTTAGCTTCACAATTAGTAGAAAAGCTCATTTATATCCCCAGTAGGGATACTCAACATTGCCAAGAGGGTTGGGGTTTTGTTTTTTAAAACATAAAATCAGGGTGGAAAGAGTATTAAGTCTCTTAAGTTTAGCCATTCATTCAAAGTTTTCAGCAGCTCTTGGAAACTCACTGGAGCAGAAGCAAATCTACAATCTGTCTATCAAACATATTGAATAGGTTTTAAGTTTTTGTTAATTTTATCATCATGTGGACCAAACACCCATAAACAACTCAAATGAAAACCGCCAGCCAGGTCCTTTTCACTTATGGCTGAAGCAGGATAAACAAATTTTCAGCAAACACACTAGTGTATTAAGTTACAGTATTCAGCCTGTATTCTCAACAATACACTGTATATAAATACCTTAAACTGCTAGTGAGCATATTAAGAACACCTATACAGATCATTTCAAAACTGCAATATTTACAATACAAAACCAACTGGGTGCCTTTAAAAACAAAAAAGCAAAACACAGAACTGCTACAACAACAATTTATTGGCTAAGAGCTCAAAAAACATATCAATATTAAACTAACCACAGGATTTTTAACCGCATTAAATTTAGTGACTATATTCAAAGCATAATACAAATTAAGAATTTAACAGCCAATTTAAGAATAGCTTCTGTACTGTATTAAATAATATTGCACAATGGAGAGATTATTCTTGGTTATAGGATCTGAAACAAGGAGAGAGAATCATATTTTGACCATTCATTTTGGCATTGTTGTTGACCTCATTTAGTCTCTAGAGTGAACCCCCCCCCCAAACAGTACGTCACGTTTCAGCATTACCTAAAATGCAAAATGCCAGATCAAATTTAAATGCTCCTTAATGCCAGGAAATTCATATTAACACTACCATTTCCACGTCATGCTCCAGAATACTGCAATGTTTTAAATTTAAAGTAAGATATAGGTAGGGACCTACTTAAATTAAGGTGAGACTAAACACATTTTCACAGGTTGGTCATGGCATAAAGGGCATATTTTGCAGATATTTCCCAGATATGCACTGCTGATCCTGCCCTGCAGTGCTGACTGGCAGAGAGGCCCCGGTGGGAGAGGAGACACGAAAGGGTGGCTGCCATCTTGTCTACTGGCTTCCCTTTGTGCAGCACCTTCTCCTCCCAAGATGGGCTATGAGGCTGGGCCACAGCAGCAGCAAGGACCGCTGGGTCCCAGAGGGAAGGCAGAATTAGGGTGGACAAAAATCAGTGACTTTTTTGTTTTACTCAGATTTTTTTTTTAATTTAATCTTTTTTCTTATTAAGATACATTTAAAAAAAATCTACATATAGTTTTAATTTAAGATATGTTAAAGCTCAAAGATACGATCATGGAATAGGGATTATAACATCTAATTATATACTATTTGAGACTAAATATATTCATGTAACCTTTTTAGAAAAATTTTTAGTAGGTCACAACAGGCTATGGACTATATTAATTTCAAGAAGCTAAAGGAATAAAGGATATCAAATGACAAGAATGCACCTCTTGTAAAAAATAATGATTAAATAGAGGCTTTCTGACCAGTGATTTAAATCAATTTGATTTAAGTTGATTTTTCAGACAACTGTGATTGAGCAGACCCCTGATAAAGGTGCTACTTTGAGAGAGCTATTTTTGGCCACAAATCTAATTTCTGTAGCTGCATCTTGTCTGTAAATGGTTCACTTCATTCTTACCTGCAAGCCTATTAGTCTTAACACACTGAATCATAGCATATAAAATACACAAGATTGTTTTAGAGATCACCTGTTTAGAGTTCAAGTTAACTGCGAACAAAAACAGCTTAAAATGTTCATTAAAACATGACCATTATTTTCCTACACATTTTTAAAAGATGCAAAAAACATTTTCCACTCGCAAAATTTCTGAATTCAGCTCATATCCTTTGATGGATACCTACCAGGAATACTCGCGTAAATAAATTTTGCTTACCTGGATCAACCAGAGCCTTGTTATATATTTCTTTAAGTTTTCTACTCTTCACATTCCTGCCTTGTGCAAGATTACGATACATTTCATAGCCTATGATCATAACACCTCCTTCTTCCTGCCATCGTTGCAGCATGTAGCCTCTCTCTTGAGGGCGTTTCACAGTTGCTAGTTCACAGACCTTAAGAGGGAGAAAGCTGAACCATGGTATCTGCTTTAAAGATTTCAACAATGTATCACAAAACTTTTACATTCCTAGATCACACCTGCTACACCAGGGGCGGGCAATTATTTTGGGCAGAGGGCCACTTACTGAGTTTTGGCAAGCCATCAAGAACCGCATGACAGGCAGCCCAGGGCAGATAAATATTAATTTTCTAAATTTTTTAGGGGCTCCCCGGGTCTGACAGAATGGCCTGGCGGGCCACATCCAGCCCCCGGACCGCATTTTGTTCACCCCTGTGCTACACTAACGATTTAGTGTAATTTAACAAATTACCACAAGGTAAGCTAGGGTGTGAATTTACAGCCCACCAGCTACTTTGTGGTAAATGTTTATATGCATGCCCTTAACTTGGGGTAAATGCAAGGTAGCTTTTCCTTTATTATATTCTCTAGAATACCATGAGAGTAGGGAATGCACACAGGCAGTTATTGCAGAGCAGTTGATGTACTATAAATAAAAAGGTCCAAGCCTACTTCAAGGTAACTTATTAAAACACTCAACCCTAATCAAAGTACATTTTCCATATATTTAAAACTCAATCAGAGTATTTTGAGTGAGTAAATGTAATAAATTGCACCAAACTGTTCAGTATGAGACTAAAGGAAAGTTTAAAAGAATGAAATACCTCTAATTGTTCATCATCTTCTAAACCATCTTGCCATTTTTCAAACTCATTGAGCCAGTTCAAGGCTGTGTTCAATGGACACACTACAAGAGCAGTGCTGAAATCCAGCTTGTCACATAACAGAACTGTATGGAGAAAACTCACTACCTGCAAAACAGAAAGCCAACAAGTAAATTAGTACTAGAATACCTGAAAGCAACAAGTACACATTAGCAAGCCTCATTTCGTCCACTTAAATGTACATCCAAATTTTACAAACACCAAACATCTTCTCCAAACATTTTCTTTTTGGGGGAGTGTTATTTAAACAACTCATTTTCCACTTTTCCATTTTATACAATATGCTTCAATTCACAGATTTCCAAAATAAAATCTGCGTCTTGAATTCTCTCTCCGAGCCAAATTTCCTTCCCTGGTTAACATGGCAGATTTATTGCTGTGTTGATAGAAGCTTTGCTCAAGTTCCTCATTTACTCAGCTTTCTAATTTTGGATATTGCTTCCAAGTAGCTGAGAATAAAACTCTTCTTTCTCTCCAGGTTTACTAAATCATTTTAACAATTTAACAAGTTTCTAAGTCACGTATGACCCTCCCTTTCTCCCCAGAGAGAAATAAGCTCAAATCCTTAAAATTTCTTATGAAGAAAGAGTAAAGTTCCTTGAAACTTGGCAACAGATTTCCAAAGTTAATAATTCCGTCAGTATGGTGACCCATTTTGTACACCATATTAAATTTGATTCTGAGCTTCAAATATGCAATGTTCATTAGACACCAAATTCTTTTTAGCCTGCATCAGGCCACACCACCAACGATAACTGGCATCACTGCTTTTGCAAACAGAACTACTTTTGTGTTGAACATTTTAGGCTAAAGATGTTTAAATAGAGGAAAAAAAGACTGCGCAAGGAAATAGGTCATTTGGGCTTTTCTTGTGCATCTGATATCCAGTAAGTTCATGACTGCTCTTTTCATTTGACAAAACCAGTTAAACTCTGTATTAGACCCATTTGTTTCAAAGAACACAAAAGCTTTCAAAGGATAGAGATAAGCACTGACAAACAGTTGCATACACAAATAAAATTAATTTTGACTTCTGTGAAACCCTCTTCTGTGAAAAATGTCCTCACTTAAATTTATTGTTCATGAAGAAATTAACATCAGATCATCCAACCTAATTCACATCTCAAATTTCAATACACAACATTAAAGTTCTAAGAATCAGATTATATCCAATTCAGTATGGCATGTTAAGTATTAATACTAAAAGATCAAATTGCAAATACATGTGAAAGAGAGCACTTCTTTAGGACTTACAGTCGACAAGACAAACACGTGCACTATTAATACTGAGAATGACTGAACTGTTAGGACAAGCATAGCACCTCAGAAGATTCCACTTCTATAGAAAAGTTATCTTTTTCAACCTGCCTTCAGCTTAAGCAGCACAACAAAAATAATCAATTTATGAGCAAACAGATATTTCAAACATGCCAGGCAAAATGTATATTCCAAGGGCCACAGAGAGAAGGATGCAATTTAAATAACAAACATGCTTAATAATAATAATAATGCATTAAAGAGTATAAAGTACTTGAAAAATAATACTATTGTTACAAAATCATAAAGGAACTACGTTTTATAATTTTGAATCATGAGGAAACAATACATATTACTTCTAGTTTACATCATACACTTTCATTCCAGTATAAATGTATTGTCTAATTCTAGATATTTAAATTAGCACAACACCCAGAAACCTCAGAGTGCATGGACACATTTTATAACTCATAAATACATAAATACCAGCTCTCACAGAACATTACAAAAATCTACTTCCTCTTTTTGAGGAAGGCCACAGCCTGGAAGACAGGATAAGCTGTGTCTACAAAACCACAAAAGCCATTAAAACTTGGATCATCAGGAGAATTAAGTCTGTACTAAAAGATGTACTATGTCAGAAGTATTTGAACCTTACCTGCAATGTTTTCCCTAGACCCATACAGTGAGCAAGAATGCATCCAGAGCCTGGAGATGTCTTTGTTTTTTTCACAGATTCACAACAACAGTCCCACATGAACTGAACACCTGGAGAAAATGTTAAAGATATCTTTTTAAAAAAAAAAAGTATTATAAACATTAACTTCAGGGTCTTTTCTAAAAAGATATAGGTGAAGTCACCATGAAGTGGATGCACAACTGTTTGAGATCACACTCTAAGAATAGTTGTCAACATTCTGCTATCAAACTGTAAAGACATTTATGTCCTGCAGAGGTGTGTCCTGGGCCTTATTCTAGTCAATATTTTCATTAATGACCTGAAAAACTGGACTAAAGGATATACTTATATAATATGTAGATAGCACCAAGCCAGACAGACGAGACCAAAATACAAAATAATTTTGATAGATTGGAGAAACGGTCTGAAATTGACATGCTGAAAATTTGGTGAAGGATGGTGTACTTAGGAAGAAATTACATGTTCACTCTATGGGGAAAAGCTGGCTAGGCAGCGGCACTGCAGAAGAGTCTAAATAAGTCTATAACTAAGTAAATCTCAGTTCTTTTAGCCTTTTCTCCTACCGTCAAGTTTACAAGGCTTCTAGTCACTGTTAATGCACTCCACTGGACTCCTTATTTCCTTACATCTTTCCTGAAATGAAGGGACCAAAACTGGACACAGGTGAAGTCTCAGCAGTGCCAAGCAGAAAGTGAATCGCTTTGCTAGTTTGTAACACTCCTATTAATACAGCCTAGAATGCCATTGGCCTTTTTGTAACAAGAGCACACTGTTGGATTACACTCAGTTTATGGTCCATTATAACCCCCCAGCCCTTTTCTGAAATACTGTGGCATAACCAGTCATTCCCCAGTCTGTATTTGCACATGTGATTTTTCTGTCCAAAGTGCAGATCTCTGCACTTGTCCTTAGTGAACTGCATTAAATTAACTTTGATTTTGGACCATTTCTCCAATTTATCATTTTGAATCCTAAGCCTACCCCACCATGGTGTTTGCAGCTCCATCCAACCAGGCACCATCTGCAAATTTGTTAAGTGGACACTTAATCCCATCCTAAGCATACAGTCAAAAAGCCGGAGGCTGAATTGATTTAATCTTTGCAGTGTAGTCTAAGCTACGTAGACTGAGCTGATAAACAAGTGAACAGACATTCACTTCCGATTCCAGAAATGCAGCCACATGCCTGCAGTGGCTCAGGCCAGCAGCTCGGGGGGGTGCTACAGCATACTTCACTACTCAACTGGAGCATACAGCTTGGCCAAGGCTAGCATGCCCACCTTGCCAGGGACAGTTTGTGGGGAGGTGCAAAGCATCCTGGGATGCTGGGGGTGTATGAGTTAACCTGAATCTGGAGGGGATTTGGGACAGAATTTCAATAAACTGATTTAACCTAAATCAATTAGGTCTGATACTGCATTCATCCAGGTTTATCTTAAACTTGTCCCAGGTAGGGGTGCACGGATATAATTGGTTGGCTATCAGACTGGCACTAATAAAAGGAGAAATGATGTTATCGACTATTGGCTGTTTTTGGTCATTTGTAGCCAACAATTACAGCTGCGTTTCTGGAGCACCCTGGCAAGCACAGTCCGGTCCCTGCACCATGGTAGACTACAGGTCCTAGCAAGTAGTGGAAGGCGGGGGGAAGCACCAGGGAGCAGTCACAGGGCACCGTACTCAACAACAAAGGGACTTTACCAACTCCTATTGCTGCTGCCACGGCAATGCTGCAAGCACAGCAAGGGCCTAAACACTGGGGCTGCTGTGGATATGTTGGGCTGTGCAAAGGTGGGGTAAGGTGCCATGTGAGGGACATTTCGCTCTGCCAGGCACTGGGCGTCTTTGCCAAAATGGCTTCTCCCCAGCGTCTGTGGGAGCTTGGCCATGTGGGGCCCGCCGGCACTGAAGCACCGGCATGCTACAGGGCTCCAAATGCACCTGGCACTGCTGTCCATGTGAGGGTCAACCCCATCTGCTTGAGACAGCAGCATGGGTTGCACAGGAAGCAGGGCTGCAGGCAGTAGCCATGGGTGAAGGGACAACGTGCATGAGAATAAGGCGGTTACCCATTCTCATTAATAAACTGAGCGACTGTGGCATTGATGCCTACACAGTTGGATGGGTCAAAAAATGGCTGATGGGGCGCACCCAGAGAGTGGTGGTGGATGGGTTGTACTCGACCTGGCGGGATGCGAACAGTGGGGCCCCCCAGGGCTCGGTCCTGGGGCCTACACTGTTCAACATCTTCATCAGCGACTTGGACGAGGGGGTGGAAAACACATTGTCCAAGTTTGCTGATGACACCAAGATGTGGGGAGAGGTAGGCACACTCGAAGGGAGAGAGAGGCTGCAATTAGACTTAAGACAGACTACAGAAGTGGGCGGATGGTAATAGGATGGGCTTCAATGTAGATAAATGCAGGGTGCTGCACCTTGGGAGAAGGAATCCAAAGCATACATACAAGCTGGGGAGCTCCCCCCTTGTGAGCACAGAGGCGGAAAGGGATCTTAGAGTCATTATTGATTCCAAGATGAACATTAGCTGCCAATGCCAGACCGCAGCCAGCAAAGCCAACCACACCTTGTCGTGCATCCAAAGCAACAGGGCAGGCCCTATGAGGAGAGGCTGAGGGACCTGAATCTGTTCAGCCTCAGCAAATGGAGGCTGAGGGGGGATTTGGTGGCTGTCTACAAACTCGTTAGGGGAGATCAGCAACAAACAGGAAGGGTCCTATTCCCCCCAGCAGCACCTGGGGTGACAAGGAACAATGGCCAGAAGCTGCTGAAGAATAGGTTCAGGTTAGATATTAGGAGGCACTATTTCACTGTCAGGGTAGCTAGGATCTGGAACCAACTTCCTAGGGAAGTGGTCCTCGCTCCTACCTTGGGTAAATTAAAAAAGAAGTTGGATGAACACCTGTCTGGAGTCGTGTGATCCCAGCGTGTGCTCCAACCAGTGACTGGGGGTTAGACTAGATGATCTATTCAGGTCCCTTCTGACCCCTAACTACAAGGAGGAAGGTGGTTTCATAGTTTCATAGAAGGCTGGAGCGGGCAGATTAATTTATGTCAGTAGCTTAAAATGCCTTGCACTGTTACTAAATATAGGTTATCAGATCAGCTGATGTGGCTGGTTAATCATCGGGTAGCGGCGAAGAGAACTTTGTCAGGGCATCCCTAGTTTCAGCCACTTTGAAAGCAGTTTACATGCACTGAACTTCTGTTATGTTACAGATTTCAACCGGTTTCCAATCACTTATACCAGTTTATGTGCAATGTCTGCCCCCAGCCCAAAGCATTAATGAAAATATTAAACAACACAGACCTCTTCCCAACTAGACATTGAGTCACTGATGATTACTTGATGAACATAAGTACTGATGTTGAACGATCACATATCCACCTTACAGTACTTTATCTAGTCTTTATTTCCTTAGTTTTCTAACGAGTGTGTCATGGAGCTCCTGCCAAAAGCCTTGCTAAAATCATGATAACATTTTTTTATGATATAAAAGCATGTTACAGAGAGGAATGTGATCAGTTTTCCAGGTCTACTGGGGACAGGCCAAAAAACCCAACAAATGTGAGGCTAAAGTATTAAACAAAATACTATCTGTCAGGGTGGTAAAATACAGTAATATCAGGTATGTTTCATTCCCCCCTTAAAGCAGGCAGGAGGAAAAGGGTGGGATGGAGGAAAGGAAGGACAAAGGAGGAAGGTCTTTCCCAGCCCTACATTTCACTGATTTTACATTCCTACAGAAAATCAATAGTGTTAAGTCTGCATTCATTTTCTTCAGATTATGTTCCCAACAAAAGAAAAATTAAGAAACCTGTCAGAAATTCTACATATTTTGTTATCTTGAATTGATCTTTCAAGTATCTTCCACAGTCCCCAGCAAAGCTATTAAAAAGAAAAAAGAAAAAACAATTAAACAGTTCTCTTCATAATTTCTTACCATCTACTTGATGTGGTTTTAGTTTAGTAACTATATGTCTGTTAACCTGCACTAATGGTTCTTTGGTTTCTTCATCTTCATCTAAAACCAGTTTAGTTGTAATAGGACACTTCAGAGGCGAAGCATCTTCTATTTCTATCACCTGAAAGCAAAAAAAAGCATACTGCATAATAGGAATCCACTGCCCATGACTAATTTGAGTCCTTTTAGAGAAAGACAAATTCAGAGTAGCAAGACCCTTATTTGCTAAACTCAAAAAGATTTTTTTTTTTTAAATCTAATGCTTTTATCTTTTCCCCATGTTAATTTACAGGATTTGTTTCTAATGAAAACTACTTACTGAAGGGTGGAGAATTTGCAAAGTTACAAGTTTCATTTTTATGAATGATTTGTATGCTTACATAAACCTACATTTTTTAAAACACACTGTTTTTTACCTCAGCTGAATTTATGCCTTTAAAATAGCACCAGCATTTCAATTACCTAGCAATATTCCACATATAGTAAATAAAACATACCTCTCTCAGTTTCTCTCTCTCTCGCTCTCTTTCTGCAATACGTTTTCTTCTTTCTTCCTCCTCTTTCAGTGCATTTTGTGTCTCTGTTCTAAGCTTATCATCTTTAATAATCTTTCTGATTTTCTTCCTGCCTTTTCCAGGAGATTTTGAATCATCATTCTCTTCCTCGTCAGAGTTGCTCTATTAGAATTCAAAAGAATTGATTGTTAATATGAAAAATAAAACAAAATATTGTAATCCTGACTTCTGAACTAGTGGTCAAATTCCTGACCAACAGGGCTCCTTTAGGCACTGGGGAATATGCCTGATTTTTAAACATAGGTAACAACCAGCACGATCTAAAACAATTCTTACAAACTCAAGCAGTTTATCATTCTTTATAAGATTTTGTAATCATGAATGTGTGCTAATGCAAAGGCATTAGAGGTACTTCCAAATAAATGTTAGGTAACATGATTTTAGAAAATCTCCTGTCTTCCCTTTCACTCAGTACATGCATCGATATGCCCAAATTTAACATCGCCAGCAAGTCCAGGTATGAAAGGCATCAAGAAAAGCCTACAAGTTCTTCTTCCCCATTTCTCCTGAATACCAAAAGATAGCTGATCTCTCTACCACCACCTGCTGCTACTGCTGAGCTAATGAAGACACATCAAGCATTTAAATTTCAAATTTAGATTTGAAATTGGGCTTCACAATAAAGCAATTTTGGAAATTTTCTTTCATCAAAAACAGAAAAAAAATCTCCCATTAGGAACTTAAGGACAAGGGCTTCCCCCCCCCCCCCCCACTTCTACTGTGGAGCTTGAAGATTTAAATTTTGTGTACTGTTTTAAACAAGGAGGAAAAAAGTATTGTGTAAAAAAATTCTCTCAATGGACCAGGAGATCTTGAATTTGCGTGCTAACATAAAAAATAAATATAAATTTCAAGCTTTTGCTAGAGTGTTCAATTCACTGCAAACTGTATCAAATAAAACTTGATTACAAGACAGTCTATACACGTGTGCGCGACCAATACAAGTCTAGATGAAATTATGCTGAAATAAGTTTAGTGCGAATTATGTTAGTTGCTGATGGCTTTACATTACAAAAGAATCCTTAAAGTTGATACTGTGGCCAGCTTTGGATCCTTGATTGAAAACTCTTCCACTTAGACACCTACAATGTTGTAAATTGAAAATAGTCGAGTAGATTGAAGCACTAATATGAATATTCTCGCTCTCTTTCTTTCATAATGAAAAAAAACATATTTCAGTGTGATTTCATCTAGCTTTGCATTTAAGTCTTGTATTGCAGAACATATGCCAAACAGCACACGCTATTATTTGAGAAGAGTTAGCAATGTTATCTGCACATTTGAAGTTTTGTTACTACAATTATTTGCTGAATTTTAAAAAATTCAAAATGTTGCAAAATATATAGAAAAAGACAATGTCCTATCCTACCCTTTGAAAATGCATGATCTAGAGACCAAACTACCCTGACAGCTATTATCAAAATCACAAAGGTCATTATGCTGTTTCACCAGTTCATTCAGAACAAACATTCTGTCCAGTACCTTGTTTTCACTGGAAGAATCCTCCTGAACTTTAATGCGTCGCCTTTTCTTTTTTTGCTTGTAACTGCGGTTTTCTTCTGCCTCGGCTTTCTTAGAAGATCTAAAAATATTAAACGAAAACAAAAAAAACCCCCACTCATGCTTTGCCAAGAATGGATAAAAAATGTTGATTTTCTTTTTATGAAATATTCTTCCATTCGATACAGGATATTTCCATCCCTCGCCAAAATGAAGTTACTTATATTTATAAATATTTCACTAATGCTGTAAAAGCAAACTAAACATTTGCCTAGAATAGGGTAGGCAACCCCCAGCATGCATGCCAGAGCCTGGCACGCAAAGGCATTACACTTGGCACTTGCACCTCAAGGAAAGGGCCAGGGCTGCGCAGCCACATCAAGGATTAGGCCCCTCGCTGCTCCTCCACCATCCATCCCTGGCACGCCAACATCTTACAAGTTGAGGTTGCAGGTGTTTTAGGCACTCTACCCAAAAACGTTGCCAACTCCTGGCCTAGAATGAAGTCAAGAAGCTACTCTACTAGCTTTTTCCTATCCGTTTACAACAAGTACATCATATCAGTTTTCTGTTTTGTTTCTGCCTTTAATAGACATGAAAAATTATATTTTCCCATGCATGGACCCCCACTGCCAGATATGCAATAACACCAAGTTATAGACCTTAACAAGATAAACCATAGCACAGTTTTACCTAAGTGATTCCACAGTTTCTATCACGGTGAAGAAGCAATTCCACACAAATTTTATAGTAGTTGCACACAAAATGTAAACTGTTTGTATGGATGTCACTTTTGTGGGACAACAGAAACAAGGTAACTGATTATTTTCAAACGCTCTCTCACAAGACACAAATAATAAGGGTCCATCTTAAACAACTGCCAAGAAGTTCAGGATTAAAAAAAATAAAAATACTTAACTGTTAATAAGAATCCACTGTTCTTGGACTGCAGCACACTTGGCACAAAAAATACTTAGTACTTTGACAGTTTTATCCTCTTGCTAACCAAGGCTTAAAATTCTCTGCCAGCACATAGTCAAACTCAAATTCAACTGAACTTCCTGGCTATTGCTGGTCAGCCAATTTGCAGAAATGAAAATTATTCCATACCATAATTCTAATTTTAGGCTCATATACACAGCATAACAGAGAACCTGGGACTCTCTGTTACTTAAAGGGGGAAAATCAGCCCAGAGAGGAAGCACAGTGTGCTAGGCAGGGCACAGCTGCATTTGGGTTGCCATAATAACCAGGCAATGAGATCAATTAGCAGGGACCTGCAGACAGCCCAGGGTACTCTCCTGACCAGAAGGGGGCAACATCCTGGGAAACATAAGTCTGGCAAGTCAGTTGAGCCCTGCAAGCCACAGGGTTAGAAGCTCCTGGCCAGAAAAGCTACTACTACCAGGGAATGCTAAATGAACTGCTGTGCCATCTTGGGAGAGCAGTGAGGCTCTGGGAGCTCATAGGGATATAACCCAGAGTTGGGAGGTTATGTGGATACCAGAGGCGAGGGAAAGTTTTCCCCTTTAAAGGGGCAGTTGCTGGGCCCAGAGGGAAGATTCGTTATAGCCAGGGGCCTTATCTTTTGGTTCCAGTTCATGCTGGTGGTTTGGGTTGGGACTGTAAGGGGAGGTATTTGGAGGTCCCATTGGTGCCCTAGGGGCACATGATCGCCTTGAGCCCTGCAAACTCAGGGCAGAGAGGGCTGAGCCTGGAACAAGGCAGAGCATGGAGCTGCAAAGCCCAAGGCAGGGCCAAGGAGCCCAGTGCCCAAGAGGGGTGGCAAACCGGGGCTAGGAGCCCAGCAGCCCAACAGGGGCAGAGACAGGGGCCCCACATCCAAGAGAGCAAGACTAAAGCTGGTGCCTGAAAGCTAGGCTCAATACAGTGGTCCCAGGCTAGAAGGCCCAACCAGAGAAAGGGGGAGGAGGCTGAGGAGGGCCAAACCTCAGAGAGTGACAGTACAGAAACGCCTGAGGCATGGGACAGTGTAGGAGCAGACGGAGCCATGTAATTAGCCCTTAAGGCTTGTAGGTGCCCTGGGGCACCCAGGTAGAGAGCACCCTATGCAGCTCAGGAGCTAGGTCAGGGCCAGCAGTGCAGGAGGGACCTGCTGGCTAGTGGGTAGAATAAGGCTTGCTCTAGGACTTTCAAGTCAGTATCCCTTTCTATGCAAAAGGTACATCAAGGCATGGCAGACGAGAAGGAGGTGAGGGGCCTAGAGGCAGAGCAGGGCATGGGTTGCTGAGCCACCAGGGAGCATCACGGCCACCACTGGGACTCTAATGTGCTACACAAGCCATACAAGTCAATAGGAGCATATGGATTATAGTCTTTGAAAATATAACCTCTGTCTGAAATGCTCTGATAAACAATCTTGCCTCCTCAATGACTTTTTAAAAAAAAGGTTATTTAAGGTGATTAAAGCTTATTCATACCTTGTTCTACGACGCTGGTCATCTTCAGACTCGCTAACTTCTTCACTAACTTCAGATTCATGAAACTCTGAGTCATTTGAGCCATCGCTGCTCACTTGAAAAAGAAAGAAAAAAAAATAGACTACCGACCATTGTTATAAACTAAAGCAACATCAACGTAGCTTTTCTAATTTTAAAAAAAAAGTTTATTATATGCTGCAAGCTGCACAAACTCACCTCAGTCAATACCAAGCAGAATTCAATATGCTGCTAATAAAATGTGTCAGGTAAGGTATAACAATGAGGCCACGAGAAAGAAGTGGCTATATGGAGCAGGGGTGGACAACCTAACGTAGCAGCCGCAAGTGACACAAGCAACCTCTGCATGAGTCACATGGCAGACTGGAGGGGACAGGCAGCACAATAAGCAGGGGAAGGGGAACAGAGTGACACGCAGGGAGGGTACACAGCTTATTTGTGGCATGCCTGCCACGATGGCCCCTACCAGAGCATAAGTTAAACCCTGAAGTAAAAGGTTGGCACAGAAGATTGATGGACTTCATAAACACAGTAATTATCCAATCCAAATTAGGAAAAAACACTCAAAAAAAGCAATAAATATTTATTTTAAAGGAATGCTGTCAGGTAGCCTGATTTTGTTAAAGACCTTTGTCTTAATACAAATATTTTCATGACTTGTTTTTAATTTATTGCATATGGTTCTTCTTGGATTTAATTTTCCCGTATTGGCCTAGTATATGAAAACCAAAGGAAGAAACAAACTCCCATTCCGTATGCTAAAAGGTAAATTAGATGGAAGTCTAAATAATCTATATTAGCAAGGACTAACCTTTTTGGCAGGCATACCACAAATTAACCATGCACTCTCTCCAGATGCCACTCTATTCCTCTTCCCGTGCTTGATCTACTGCTCTGCTTTCTGCTCCCCGACCTGTGACTCCCTGACTTACCTGCTGCTAGGCTTTCCGCTTCCTAGTCTGTGCTCCCTGCCTGTTGTTTTCTATTCCCTGCTCCACCTGCCACTGTGCTACCTGTCCCCTCCCCATCTGCCATATACAAAGGCTGTCATGCCACAAGGTTGACACCCCTATTCTATATTGCAATTAACACAAATTGAATGCATTACACAATCATGTCTGTGTGTTTTTTACCCTAACATTGCCCCTACAATGTAACATGGCTTAGCAGGGAACTTCAATAAGCTAAAAATCACAAAAAGGAAGCTTATAAGAAGTGGAAACTTGGACAAGTAACTAGGGAAGAATATAAGAGCACTGCTCGGGCATGCAGGGATGAAGTCAGGAAGGCCAAAGAGCAATTGGAGCTGCAGCTAGCAGGGGATGTGAAGGGTAACAAGAAGGGCTTCTGTAAGTAAGTCAATAGCAAGAGGAGGATCAGGGAAAGTGTGGGTCCCCTTACTGAATAGGGGAGGCAACCTTGTAATAGAGGCTGCAGAAAAGGACAAAGTGCTCAATGCCTTCTTTGCCTCAGTCTTCACAAGCAAGGTCAGTTCCCAGACTACTACACTGGGCAGCACAGTATGATCTACCCCCCGCATGCCCGTTTCCTCCCCCCTCCCCTTCCACCACACCTAACTTACCAGCTGGAGGCAGCAGTATTGGAAATCAAATCAGTATTGGCTGATAGGCCTCCTTAAACATCGGCCCCAAAAATCTCTAACAGTGCACCTCTAGTGCAAGTCCATAGGGCTGATCAGATGCACCTGACGGTGCTGAGGAAGTTGGCTGATGAGATGACAGAGCCACTGACCATCATCTTTGCAAATTCAGGGTGATCAGGAGAGGACCCAGATGATTGGAAAAGGGCAAACATGGTACCCATACTTAAGAAAGGGGAAAAAGGAGGATCCAAGGAACTACAGACCAGTCAGCCCCACCTCAGTCCCTAGAAAAATCATGGAGCAGATCCTCAAGAAATCCATTTCTAAGCACTTGGAAGAGAAGGTGGTTAGGAACAGTCAGTATGGATTCACCAGGAGCTAATAATTCCTGACCACCTTCTATGATGAGATGGCTAGCTCTGTGGATGCAGGGAGACCAGTGCATGTGGTGGTACCTTGGTTTTAGCACAGCTTTTGATACAGTCTCCCACAACATTCTCACAGCCAAGCTAAGGAAGTACGGGTTGGATGAGTGGACTGTTAGGTGGACAGAAAACTGGCTGGAGCATTGAGTTCAGAGAACAGTAGTCAATGGCTCGATATCTAATCGGAAGCCGGTATCAAGTGGAGTGTGCCAGGGGCCGGTTTTGTTCAATGTCTTCATCAACGACTTGGAAGATGGCCCAGAGTGCACCCTCAGTAAGTGTGAAGATGACACCAAGCTGGGGGGCATAGTAGATAGGCTTGGAGGGTAGGGCTAGGATTCAGACTGACCTAGACAAATTGGAGGACTGGGCTGAAAGAAATCTTATGAGGTTCAACAAGGACAAGTGGAAGTCCTGCATTTAGGACGGAACAATCCCATACACCAGTACAGGCTGGGGGCTGACTGGGTGGGCAGCAGCTCTGAAGAAAGAGGACCTGGGGGTTACAGTGGACAACCAGCTGAATATGAGCCAGCAGTGTGCCCTTGTTGCCAGGAAGGCTAATGGTATACTGGGCTGAATTGGTAGGTGTGTTGCCAGCAGGTCAAGGGACGTGATTATTCCCCTCTATTCAGCACTGGTGAGGCCACATCTGGAGTACTGAGTTCAGTTTTGGACCCTGCACTGAGAAAGAATGTGGACAAATTGAAAAGACTCCAGAGGAGGGCAACAAAAATGGTGAGGGGGCTGGGAAACATGACTTAAGAGGAAAGACTGAGGGAACTGGGCTTATTTAGTACAGTGAAGAGGAGATCGAGAGGGGACTTAATAGCAGCCTTCAACTACCTGAAGGAGGGGTTGAAAGAAGATGAAGCTAGGCTGTTCTTGGTGGCAGATGACAGAACAAGGATCAATGGTCTCAAGTTGCAGCAAGGGAAGTTTAGGTTAGATATTAGGAAGAATTTTCTTACTAGGAGGGTACTAAAAACACTGGAACAGGTTACCCAGAGAGGTGGTATATGCTCCATCCTTGGAGGTTTTTAAAAACTGGCAAGACAAAAGTTTGACTGGGATGATCCAGTTGGGGATGGTCCTGGTTTGAGCAGAGGGTTGGATTAGATGACCTCCTAAATTCCCTTCCAACCCTAACTTTCTATGATTCTATTTATTTCAAAGTAAAAAGAGAAAGACAGTTTCATATCTTCCACCATTTCAGACAACCAACACACACGCGAAGTAATTTAAAAAACTGCCTCTCAGCTATGTTCAAAGTAAAATATCAAATTTCACTATAATATGACTTGACAAAGTCGGACTTCATGGTTTTAGCTTTTCACGTCAATTTGGATTCTACTTTCCTCAGAAGACCAACGAATTTAAGGGACATATTAGGTAACAAGAGACTTCAGTAGAGTAGCGCATGCGTCTTCACTGATCCTTCCCCCCCCCCATGATAAGCCTGCTCATGCTGCCATCACATCTTCCCTCGCACTGTACAACCTCACAAGAGGTCCTTGTAGGAACTTTAAGGCTTGTCCTGGGGCCTCCCCAATGAATAAACATCTGAAGGTCATCTGCACTCTACAAACATCACATGCCATCACCTGCTTACAGCGCCCCTTGGCTGTCTACGTTGCACAGATGGGGTGATTCCTACAAGAGAATGAATGACCTCTGTTTTCATATCAATTCCAGAAAGACACACAAGCCAGTGGCAGAACACTTTAACCTCCCTAGACATTCCACCACTGACCTCAGAGTGGCTGTTCTTAGATAAAGACATTTAAAAGCCAACTTGAAATGGAAACTGCAGAACTAGCAATCATCCACAGACTGGACTGTATTAATTGTGGCCTATGGATTCTTATCCCAAGACTATGGATTCTTATCCCATTACCTGAATTAGTTTTGATAACATCCATGTCCCTCAGTGGGGTAAACAGCTTCTGCCCACCTAGCCTCTCCCAGCAGTGCCTCCTCCATTATCCTTCCTTTTCCCTACCCTTAGTTTTCTAATCACTGCTTTCTATCCTTCCTTTTCCCTACTGCTTCCTACAGTTCCTCCGTAGCATCTAATTAAGTAAGCTGCTACTTATGTAAGCTTAAACATCTCTGATTTAGTTAGTACATGGCTATAAACGGATTTCACATTTATCTTAGAACAAACCATTTAATCCTGGAAAAAAGTGCCATTTTAAGGATGTCAGTGTCTGTTGTACTGGATAAATCCTAAAAATATTTTTCAGATGAGGTAGAGACAATTTATGCAGAGATATTATAAAGCATGTTTACATAGTTATCCCAGGATTGCATTACTAAATCAATGACAGAAAAGCAGCATTGCATTCAGCCACTCAACTAAACCCCAATTAGAAGGGAGCTGTGTGTTCACACAAATCCCGAGATGTCCTGGAACAAAAATAACACAGGAACAACTACAACATCTGTTCCTAATCTAAAGAAGTGCAAATTCACCCTGCCTTTTTCCTGCCTTCAGATTAATATGGTTAACTACCTCTCTTTGGTACCTACCTTCCATGGCTGCTAGTCAATCTGGTTAATAATATTTCCAAATTAAAAAAAAAAAAAAATCATGAACCAAGCCTTTCAAAATCATAAGAAATAAATGCTGGCTTCTTTTTATCTGCTTTCTATGCATATATGGGGCAGACTTACACATTTACAAGCTTTCCCCAAAAACCACATGAGCTAAATACTTTCTATATTAAGTAACTATCAATTCTCATATAGCCTCATTTACTCATATAGTCTCAAACCCTTAATTAAAAGAAAAAATCAAGACAGGAATCAGGTAATTAACAAGGCAAAGGGCCCCAGCAAGTGGCCTGACCATGTCTAGTTTAGCATTTGCTTGACAATATATGTGTTGTGATCTTAAATATATAGATATATTTTTAAATATAGAAAGTATATTTAAAATATATATAATATATGATAAACAACTATAAAACTGCAGAGACAGAGAACAAATATCGGTATGGGAGGCATTATGAAATGTACAGATGCAATAGGAGGATGTTTTATTGTATTAGGTACAAGCATGACAATTGGCAAACCATGGTTTAGGCAGAGACAGACAGACCGTGAAAATGCTAATGTTGGCAGGATGGAGTGCAGCGAGCCATACAGATACTAAGAAAAGAGAAAAGTTCATAGATGTTGAGGTCAGAAGGGACCTCAATAGATTGAGTCCGACCCCCTGCATAGGCACGAAAGAGTGCTGGGTTCAGATAACCCCAGCCAGATGCTTCCGTAACCTCCTCTTGAAGACCCCCAGGGTAGGGGAGAGCACCACCTCCCTTGGGAGCCCATTCCAGATTTTGGCCACTAACTGTGAAGAAGTTCCTCCTAACGTCCAGTCTAAATCTGCTCCCTGCTAGTTTATGGCCATTATTTCTTGTGACCCCCAGGGGCGCCTTGGTGAGTAAAGCCTCACCAATCTTCTCTGGACCCTCTCCAGGTTATCCACATACCTCTTGAAGTGCGGCGCCCAAAACTGCACGCAGTACTCCAACTGTGGTCTGACCAGCACCCGATAGAGGGGAAGTATCACCTCCTTGGCTCTGTTTGTCATGCATCAGCTGATGCACGATAAAGTGCCGTTAGCTTTTCTGATGGCCTTGTCACACTGACGACTCATGTTCACCTTGGAGACCACTAGGACTCCAAGATCCCTTTCCGCTTCCGTGCTACTGAGCAGGTCATTTCCTAGGCAGTAGGTGTGCTGGACATTTTTCCTCCCTAGGTGCAGCACTTTGCATTTCTCCTTGTTAAATCGCATTCTATTGTTTTCTGCCCTTTTGTCCAACCTGTCCAGGTCTGCCTGTAGTTGTTTCCTGGCCTCCGGTGTGTCCACTTTTCCCCACAGTTTTGTATTATCCACAAACTTGGACAGAGTACACTTCACTCCCTCGTCCAAGTCACTGATGAAGACACTGAAGAGTATCGGTCCAAGGACCGAGCCCTGCGGGACCCCACTGCCCATGTCCTTCCAGGTCGATACTGACCCATCCACCAACAGTTGGGGGATGGGTATGCCAAATGCCGACTCCAGAAGTCCTAGGAAGATACCCATCAGGAATGGATCAGGGAAATAAGAGCTTTCACGATTTTCGGGAAAAACAAGACAGGTAGGCATTGAAGTTTCCAGATAGATCTGATCAGTTCCTGGAACGCAGAAAGTGATGATACAGTAACAAGTCAAGAAGGATAAAATGGAGCAAGAGGCAGGGGTTCTATACCAGTGCTGGAATCAGCCAGCATAGAACAGCTAGACTCTTCCTTTAATTCAACACTAAAAATGTAATTTATACATTCAATTTGTGCACTAGTGGATAAACAGCTCTAATTGCTTTTCTTCCAATGTCAATAAAATCATCCTCACACTGACCAAAATAGCATAATTAATTGCAAGTACCAAGTATGCACTATTAATATTAATTCCTGTCACATGTACCAAGAAAAAAATTATAAGGAGCTAGGAAACAGCTGCTAAGTCAAGTAAAATAAAAAATACCCTAGGTGTCATTTAACAGCGCCACCTGCTGTCCAATTGTGAACCATATTAGAAAGCTTGCAATGTTGCAAAAATTAATCCACCACTACAGAGGAAATTTCTATTGACATAAGAGCTATGTATATAGTGTGAAAGATAGAAATTCCAGAAAAGACAGGAGAGGAAATTAAGTTTTCATGAATAATACATTTTAGATTTGGCCTCTCTTACTTGGGATTAAGACTTCATGACTCAACCACACTAATCCAATTTGGGGGACGCATTAAGTAGAGAGAGAAGTTCTGCTATCCAGTTACATTCACTACTAGTGTTATAAATAATAAAACTCACAACTGAACATAAAACTGAGCTTGGGGCAATGGATATGAAACTGGGCTTGGGTCAAGTTTAAGGAGGGTTGTGGATATAATTAAACATTTTTGTTCAAAAGTTGAATTCTATTCAAAATGTTCTGGTTTTAGAAATGCTGAAAATCTTAAAACTTTTTTGTTCTTAAATAAAAGGAAATGAGTTAATATCATCATTTAGATTTGCTAACTTTTGCTGCCCAGACATGCGTCAAAACAAAATTATTCAGCCAATCAAAAATTTACCAAATACATTCAATAAAAAAAGTTACTGAAAACCCTTTTTCATGGGGCAGTTAAAATTAATTTTAAAAGTTAGTGATAAAATACTGTTTGCTCATCTCTTCCAGTACATATTAGAAAAGAAAATATGGACGTGAGACATTTAAGGACACTGATCCCCAGTGCCTCTAATATGAGTGACTACAAAAAAAAGGAGTAACTGATGGTGCCAAGGGATGAAAGGAGATGTGTGGAAGTCCCAAGTCTACAATTCAGAAAAATCTTCTCTCTACAGGAAATCTCCATGCTACCCTACTTTGGACATGTTTCATTGCAACATAAATGCACATACTTGTCTCACAAACATAGATTTTTATTTATTTATTTTTTTACCTTTCCTTCTATTTCTGCGTTTGCCTTCTTTAGTGTCTTTAGATTTTCTTTTCTTTTCTTCCCCAGATTCTCCATCACTCACAGTTAGCTTATGTCTCAGCAGCCTGTGTCTATATCTAGGCTTCTTTGATTCTTCATCATCTGAATCTGATTCAGAATTCTCTTCCTTTTCATTCTCCTCTGTCAAAGAGAAAATTCAGCATAGAACTCATATTGGTAATGGCTTTCCCATTTAAATTCATTGTGGGCAAATGTTATGCACCATTAGGAAACTATAAACAAACACATAGCTGTATGTTGGTATTACAGATATTCTGATTTTGTAGAAGACAACACATGAATTAGCAGCTATGCTTACCAGCAATATGTATTTCATGTATTTTAATCGTTTATCTCTTTTTAATGAATTGCATGTTACTCAATATACTTGGAGGTTTTATGAACTGGTTACAAAATCTGGCACAAAGAAAAAAGATCTTGAACAAGTCAAACACAGAATAATCACAGAACCCTGCCAAC